GTGCCTGGCCGAGTTACCAGTTTTTGAATAGGAAGTACCATAGTCAGCACTGGGAGCCTGTAGGAGTATGGAGGATAGATTGGAGACAGCAACTGGGAGACTTTTGTCACAGCTCAGGCAAGTCGATACAGAGCCTGAACCCAGCTGGGGAGGGTTGGCAGGCATGAGAAAGAACATAGGCACCGGCTGTGCAGATCCTGGGGAGAGACTTGCTTGGATTTCTTGAGATACTTTAAGGAAAAGACTGACATTTAGTGCCTGAAACCCAGAGCAAGGAACACAAGAAGCTGGTGTTTGACTTTGACCAAACCCTAAATTCAGACCAGTCCCATTTCAATCCTTTTAGAACTGCTGATCCTGAGCCCTAGTAAGCAACTCAAGATTCAAATAGACCAGTATGGCCAGGCGCTAGACACAGCTGTGAACAGCACAGCACTCCGGAATGTTACAGAGTTGATTTCCAGCTGCGGTTGTAACATAGCTGAGTGGCAGATTAGCTTCTCAGCACTTCTGTTTCCTCACTTGGTAAACCCTCACGCTGTTGAGTAAGTTGAATTAACAGATTAGGAAGCTGGAAGCTGTCAGGCTCTGCCTAGAGCCCAGTGACCTAGAGGCTTTCTTCTAAACTGGACTGTTAGTAGGGAATCGGGTTGATATGAGTTTGGGGCCTAGGAATACTTTTGTACTTTTTTGTTTGTTTGTTTTTAACCATTAGTCAAGTCTAGTAGTGAGAAGGAGAGAAAGATTAGAACAAGGAGTTTAAGCACTTAAAACATCCCAACTCTGTCCTTTCTCTGCAGCACCCTCATCACGTGTGTGGATTCTGGGATTCTCAGAGTCTGGCATGACAATGACAAGAACACATCCTCTGACCCAGTGAGGCTTCCCTGCCCTGATGGTTGGGGGAGGGGGGCTGGGGTAGGTGTCTAATGATCATATTGGGGAAGGGAGGATTAAGAACTCTAGAACGAACTCTTATCTCCCATTCTTTTTAGCTCCTGGAACTGAGAGTGGGCCCTGGGGTGTGTAGGATGCGCCAAGACCCAGCACACCCCCATGTGGTTGCCACAGGTGGGAAAGAGAATGCTTTGAAGATGTGGGACCTGCAGGGCTCTGAGGAACCTGTGTTCAGGGCCAAGAACGTGAGTGACAAGAGTGTGAAGGAGCTGTTCCTGAAGTTGAGGGAGGCTGTGGCCACTGACTATGCGTCAGAGACTAGATGGGCTTTAGAGGGCAAAGGAGGGCTGAAAGGAGGAGCACATCAAGCCCCCCACAGCCCTGTCCCCCATCTGCCCACCCCACCAGGTGCGGAACGACTGGCTGGACCTGCGGGTTCCCATCTGGGACCAGGACATACAGTTTCTCCCAGGATCACAGAAGCTTGTCACCTGCACAGGGTACCACCAGGTAAGGTGTCATCTCACCCCTACCTTCTCCTGGGATAAAGCAGCCTTCTGAAGAAATGGCCCCCACGGTTTGGCACAACTGCCTTTCTCACCATTCTGAGCTCGGAGGAGCAAGCGCGTCCCCATCTGTTCCAACCCTGTCCCTGAGCCCATGACCGTCCTCTGCTGCATTCTAGGGTGGAGTTTCCTGAACTGTGCTGTTTTCCTCCCACCTGGAAGAAAGGAAAGGACAGTGGATCCCCTTCACTGTGGGAATTATAGGGTGCAGGTGTCAGAGGACATTGGGCTAAGGGTTAAGAGAACTGGGTTCTGGTCCTGTTGCAGCCTCTCTGATTTGCTTTGGGACTGAGGCCTGAGCCTCCCATCTCTGGCCTCAGCTCCTCAGCTTTACATGAAGGGCCCAAATGAGGAATCTTTATGGCTGTCTCATTTGAGGTCTTGAGACACGGGTAGGGCTGGGTCACTGTGTTTGTCCTGTTTCCTTTGCTTTCTGCACATTGAAGTCTGATCTTGGTCATACGCCTTTGCTCAAAACATATATGAGGGCATCCTCTTTCCTCCTTCATTCAGGCTAACCTCTGCTTGAAATTTAGCACCCACTGACTACTAGACTGACTTGCTTTTCCATCCCTCCATTTCCCCTAGATGGGAGTATGGGAGGATGGAATGCTCACACACTTCCAACCTAGGGGACCTCTCCCCTCAGCTCTGTCCATTTATGCTGCTAAGCAGCTCTTCTGACACCCTGATGCTCAGAGAAGAGGCATATATCTAAGATGAGAAAGCTTCTGACAGTGGATCGTAAATAAGAGAGCAGTGTGCAGGGAGCGGGTGAGGATGCAGAGATGCCAGAGGGTAGGTGCAGGGTGAGGATACTTTCGTGATGCTTCAGCCTTCCTCTAGGTTCGTGTCTATGATCCAGCATCCCCCCAGCGCCGGCCAGTCCTAGAGACCACCTATGGAGAGTACCCGCTGACAGCCATGACCCTCACTCCGGGAGGCCAGTGAGTGTTTAGAGGGGAAGGGGTGGGAGGGTGGGGCTTGGGAACGGCTCCAGGGGGTTACTGCTGACTCCGCTTGCCTCTGATCTCATCCTCAGCTCAGTGATTGTGGGAAACACTCATGGGCAGCTGGCAGAAATTGACCTTCGGCAAGGTGAGTGGACTCAGGTATGTTGGGGGGAAAGGAAGGAGCAGAGAGAAGGGTAAGGATTCCCTCTAAGGCAGTGCAGTGGGGCCAGTGAGGCCTCATTCAGGTGCCAGATTGCCTGGGTTCAAATCCTGGTTTCCTCAAAAGCTGTATGACCTTAAACTATTTCAACTCCCTGTGCCATAATTTCCTCACCTGCGAAATGGAAATATTAGTAGAAGCTCCAGTCTCAGGGTTTTGTTGCAGATTAAATGTTGAAATGGAAAGTGATTGGAACAGGAAACAATGAATGGTTGGTTACTGGCCAGCCAGTTATCACAGATGCTTCCCCCCTTCTCTAGGGCGTCTACTGGGCTGTCTGAAGGGGCTGGCAGGCAGTGTCCGTGGGTTGCAGTGCCACCCTTCAAAGCCTCTACTAGCTTCCTGTGGCTTGGACAGAGTCTTGAGGATACACAGGATCCAGAATCCACGGGGTCTGGAGCATAAAGTAAGTCGTCTCTCTCACCTAAAACTCATGGTCTTGTGGAGGCTCCGCCTCCTTTGTCCCCTTTCATGTTTCTGTCTCAGCATGCCTGGCTCCTTAAGGTTCTTCATCTTTTGCAGGTTTATCTCAAGTCTCAATTGAACTGCCTCCTCCTGTCAGGCAGGGACAACTGGGAGGTGAGCAGTTGGGTCCGGGAATGTGGGAGCTAAGGGCATAGATGTGAGGACCTCCCTATGAAGAGGAAAAGGAGGCAGCTGGAATGCAGACCTGGGACTGTCTGTTTACCTGCCTGGTCACTTAATTTCTCTGAGAGGCATTAACAGTTAAAATCCTGAGAGGGTTATTGCCAAGAGCATGGATGGGGTTGCTTTCTGGGAGCAGGGAATAAAGGTGGTGATACCCAGAGGGATTATTTCTCAGCCAGGGTCTCCTTCCCTGTAGGTTTGTCCCTGTGCCCCTGACTACTTTCTCTTTTTTTTTTTAACTTCTTTTTGTGGAGATGGAGTCTCCTATGTTGCCCAGTCTGGTTGCTAAGTCCTGGGCTCAAGCAATCCTCCTGCCTTGGTCTCCCAAAGTGCTGAGATTACAGGTGGGAGCCACCATGCCCAGTCCCCCTGACTCCTACACTTTCTTCCCACTCACCAGGATGAGCCCCAAGAGCCTCAAGAACCCAACAGGGCGCCCCTAGAAGACACAGAGACAGACGAACTTTGGGCATCCTTGGAGGCAGCTGCCAAGCGGAAGCTCTCGGATTTGGAGCAGACCCAAGGAGCTCTCCAAACCAGACGGCGAAAGAAGAAGCGGCCTGGGTCCACCAGCCCTTGACGCCCCTGTGCCTGCCCACTTTGTAAATAAACAGCTGAACATCCACCATGACCCTGAGCCTTTTGTGATGGGAGAAAGGAATGAGGGGTAGCTTGGGGTGGGGGCTCCCTGAGCTGGGGCGACGGGATATCTGATGTCACAAAAGCCGGGCCTGGAGGCAGGTAGGCTGGCGTGGGTGGCAGGGAGTCCGGGGCCACGCGGGGCCATGGGCTGCTGCCAAGACAAGGACTTTGAGATGTCGGATGAGCAGTCCAAGGAGGCAGAGTCTGAGGACGTCAGGGAAGGTGGGACCAGAGACACACACAGAGGGCCCAGGGAGTGTGAGAAGGGGCTTCCCAAGGGTAGGGGTGAGCTCAGAGGCCTCGTCGTCGCCTCAGGCGCCGAAGGTATCGACTTGAACTCCCCGGACCGTCGGAATCATAAGTCGAACGAAAGCCTTCTGATCACCGTGCTGTGGCGGCGACTATCCATGTTCAGTCGTCGGGGCTCCTCGCCGTCAAGCAAGAGACAATCACACCAGATGAGGTCATCAGTGTTCAGTGGTCGGGACTCCTTGCCGTCAAGCAAGAGGCAATCAGATCAGACTCGGAAGCAGGAGCGTCCGATCCGAGAAGGCAACCAGGAGGAGCCGGAGAAGGAATGACCCCAGACCTGCTCTTAGTCCGCCCCAACCTCCAGAGAATAAAATTTCTAACGTGTACCTGCACCACCACTCTGGGAACCCGGCGCGGACACCGCCGGGCGGCTGGTTCTTTAAGGCTCCTCCCCGGAGGCGGGCCCAGCCCCCTGGGCTCCCGCTGTAGTACTCCGGGGCGGGGTCACGGTAGCGCCTTAGCCAATGGGAGGGGGGGTCGCTCTTGCGTTTGGATGTGGGGCGTGTCTTTCGGGTCGCCGGCTTGAAAATGCGTGGGACCGCCCCCTCGTCACCAGGGGTGGGGTTACGTGTAGGTGACGTGGCCGCTTCCAGTCTGGTCGGGTTTCGGCGGCCTCAGTGCCCGGGGAGGAGGCAGTGACGGCCGGGGAGATTGGTAGTGGCGGCGGCGGCGGCAGGCAGCAGAGGGGAGGTAAGACTTGCTCTAAGAGGGGGTCTGGCCGCCGTGTCAGCTCTGGGGCAGTGGTTTTACAGGGGCGACGACTGGCGGGGGGAAGGGAACCAGGGGCGAGCAGGCAAGTCCTGCCGGCCCGGCGCCTGGTGAGCGAATTCCTTGCCGTCCAATCAGGAAAGCCTCTGTTGAGAGAGACGTCGGCCTTAGCTAATGAGTGGTTGAAGTCTTCCAGAAGGCGGACCTTGGGCGGGGGTGGGACTTCCTGTTTCAAATAAACACCCAGAGGTTTCCCCCTCCGCCCACCGAAGTGTGTCAGTCTTTGGAGGTCCGTCACCGGCCCCCCCCCGAGGGACCGAAGGAAACCACGGAAACGAAGGGACTGGGTTAGGGCCCGGGGCGGTTACACGGGCCGGGCCGCAGTCTCAGGACCACGGGACTTTGCTCTGGCCCTGTCTCTGCTTCAGGGCCCCCGGCCCGCGCTCTGGCCGCCAGAGCCAAGTTGGAAGAAGAGTCTGAAGCGGGTTCGACTTGGGACAGGGGAAAAGCAGGGCCCTTTCCGCTGCTGGCCCGCCCCAGGATCTGCGAGCGTCTTGGGCGCGAAAGTCCATGAGAAGTGCGGAAGGGGCTCGAGGATTTGTTGATTGGGGTGGGGCGGGGGAGTTTGGGGAAAGAAGCTGCCTGGGGAATGACACTCTCCCCTCCACAACAGTCCGAGGTTATGCGTCTCAATGATCCCGCGGAAACGCTACGGGTCTAAGAACACGGATCAGGGTGTCTACCTGGGTCTCTCAAAGACACAGGTCCTGTCCCCTGCACCTGCTGGCAGTAGCAGCAGCGACATCGCCCCTCTGCCCCCCCCAGTGGCCCTCGTCCCTCCCCCTCCCGACACCATGTCCTGCCGGGATCGGACCCAGGAGTTTCTGTCTGCCTGCAAGTCGCTGCAGACCCGTCAGGTAAGGACCTGGAGTGGAAAAGGCGAGGAGTGAGCCATACTCAAATCTAGGAAGGACTGTGCTCCACCACTGTTAACTGAAGTAATTCTTGGGGGTACCTGATGGAACTGATAGGCTTGGATGGGGCCAGTAGGGTCTGCTGTAAGCAACAGAGAAGAGGTCGGCTGGCTAACTAGAGGCAAGGACTTAGACCTTTTTTTAGGAGGAATCCCTTGGAGGGCAGGATTGCTATTCTGGAGGGAGTACTTCAGAGAGTACTTGGCTGCAATATAATTGGTGTGAATAAGGAACAAGTTCTAGGAAGAGCCTTTAGCTGAGAAACACGCACCTTGAATTTTCCGATATATTTCTACCATAAATTTGCTCTGTAACCATGAGAAAATTAGTTAATCTAATTACATCTTAGTTTTTATCTCTGTAACATTAAGGACATTTTCTAGATCAGTAATTTGTTGTTTTTGTTTTGTTTTGAGATCTGTTTTCAACTCTGTCAACAGGCTGGAGTGTAGTGGTGTGATGATAGCTCACTGCAGTCTTGAACTCTTAGACTCAAGGGATCCTCTTTCCTCAGCCTCCTGAGCAGCTGGGACTACATGGATGCACCACCCAGCTAATTTTTAAATTTTTTTCGTACAGGCAGTGTCTCACTATGTTGCCTAGGTTGGTCTGGACACAAACACCTGGCCCTAGACCAGTAATTTGTATCAAAATAACTTAGGGTTGGATGTGGTGGCTCGTACCTGTAATTCCAGCACTTTGGGAGGCCTAGGCCACAGGATCGCTTGAGGCCAGGAGTTAGAGACCAGCAGGGGCAATGAAGCAAGACCCTGTCTCTACAAGAAAAAAAAAAAAAAAAAGCTGGACATGGTGGCATGTGCCTGTAGTCCCACCTACTTAGAAGGCTGAGCGAGGCCCAGTCTCTTCCTCTCTCTTTTTTTTTTTTTTTTTTTTTTTTTTTTTAAGAAGAAATTTCACTCTTGTCGCCTAGACTGGAGTGCAGTGGTGCAATCTCAGCTCACTGCAACCTCCTCTTCCCGGGTTCAAGCGATTCTCCTGCCTCAGCTTCTGGAGTAGCTGGGATTACAGGTACCCATCACTGTGCCCGGCTAATTTTTGTATTTTTTTTTTAGTGGAGACGGGGTTTCACCATGTTGGTCAGGCCGATCTTGAACTCCTGACCTCAGGTGATCTGCCTTTCTCAGCCTCCCAAAGTGCTGGGATTACAGGCATAAGCCACTGCGCCCAGCCTCTCTCTCCTTTTTTGGAAACAGGGTCTCACTCTGTCACCAAAGCTGGAGTGCAGTGGTTCTATCTCGGCTCACTGCAACATCTGCCCTCCTGGGCTCAAGCAGCCCTCCTGCCTCCAGCTTCTCAGTAGCTGGGATTATAGGCATGTGCTACCATGTCTGCCTAATTTTTGTTTTGTTAGTAGAGACGGGGTTTTACCATGTTGCCCAGGCTGGTCTTGAACTTCTGTGCTCAAGTGATCCACCTTCTTCATCTTCTCAAAGTGCTGGAATTACAGGTGTCAGCCACTGCACTCAGCTCCTCTTAAAAAAAATTTGGGAGTGCTTTCTAATTATTTATTTATTTAATTAATTAATTATTTTTGAGATGAGAGTTTCGCTCTCGTCGCCCAGGCTGAAGTGCAATGGCGTGATCTCAGCTCACTGCAACCTCTGCCTCCTGGGTTCAAGTGTTTCTCCTGCCTCAGCCTCCCAAGTAGCTGGGATTACAGACATGTGACACCACGCCCGGCTAATTTTGTATTTTTAGTAGAGATGGGGTTTCTCCATGTTGGTTAGGCTAGTCTCAAACTCTCGACCTCAAGTGATCTGCCCGCCTCAGCCTCCCAAAGTGCTGGGGTTGCAAGCACCTGAGTAAGTATTTTTTTGTTTGTTTGTTCATTTGTTTTTGAGACGGAGTCTCGCTTTGTTGCCAGGCGGGAGTGCAGTGACATGATCTGGGTTCACTTCAGCCTCCGCCTCCGCGTTCAAGCGATTCTCCTGCCTCAGCCTCCCGATTAGCTGGGACTACAGGCGTGTGCCACCACACCCAGCTAGTTTTTGTATTTTTAGTAGAGACGGGGTTTCACCATGTTCGCCAGGATGGTCTCCGTCTCTTGATCTTGTGATCTGCTTGCCTCGGCCTCCCAAAATGCTGGGATTACAGGCGTGAGCCACCGCACCCGGCCAAGTAACTGTATTTATTTATTTATTTATTTATTTATTTATTTATTTTGAAACGAAGTCTCGCTCTGTCACCCAGGCTGGAGTGCAGTGGTGGGATCTCGGCTCACTGCAGCCTCCAGGTTCAAGCGATTCTCCTGCCTTTGCCTCCTGAGTAGCTGGCATTACAGGTGCATGCCACCGCGCCTGGCTAATTTTTTGTATTTTTAGTAGAGACGGAGTTTCACCGTGTTAGCCAGGTTGATCTCGATCTCTTGACCTCGTGATCTGCCTGCCTCAGCCTCCCAAAGTGCTAGGATTACAGGCGTGAGCCACCGCGCCTGGCTGAGTAGCTGTATTTTTAAATATTTTTACTGATGGCTGGGCATGCTGGCTCACACCTGTAATCCCAGTACTTGGGAGGCTGAGGTGGGAGTATTGTGCGAGCCCAGGAGTTCAAACCAGCCTGGGCAATATAGCAAGACCCTATCTCTACAAAAAGTTAAAAATTAGCTAGGTGCGGTGGTGTGCCCTGTAGTCCCAGCTACTTGGGAGGCTGAAGTGGGAGGATCGCTTGAGCCCAGGATGTCGAGGCCGCAGTAAGTTATGATCATGCTACTATATTCCAACCTGGGAGACAGAGTGAGACCCTGTCTCAAAAATAGTAAAATTATAAAAAAGTGTTTTTCAGCTCACGGTAAAGCTGCTTTTCTATATGATCTCCAAGAACTTTGCAGTCTCCTTATTGATTTCCTGGTTTGAGGAATAGAATGGCAATACTAGCTACCATTTATTTAGTGCTTACTATGTACCAGGTAGTTGACTGAAGTACTTTTCAGCCTTTTTGTTATTTAACCTTAGCAACAACAATGGGAGATGTGTGGATTGTCTTCGTCTTATAGAAGAGGAAGTAGAGATTCAGAATGTTTTAAGTAACTTGCCCCAAATCCCCCAGCTAGTAAGTGGTGAGTCAAGATTTGAACTCAGATCTACTTGTCTTCAAATCTGGACTCTAAATGACTTCCACTCATAAGTCTGGATCATCTGATGGATGCCACCAGTGCTAGAGATAGTTTAGTGGACTCCTCAGGAAGAGTGAAAGCTGGAACTGGGGAAGGGAGAACTAAAGTTGTCACCTCCTGCCATTGCTTTTCAGAATGGAATCCAGACAAATAAGCCAGCTTTGCGTGCTGTCCGACAACGCAGTGAATTCACCCTCATGGCCAAGTGAGTTGAGAGAAACTTTCTGGTGGGGTGATACAATGTCTGAAGAAAAGTAGACTTGCGTTCAGTGGCATTGGCTGTGAAGTCTGGGATTGGTTGTGCTGGAGCTTATGTGGGAAAAGGCCTCCTGCCCTTTCCCACAGTCTCACTAGTGGTCATTTGCAGGCGCATTGGGAAAGACCTTAGCAACACATTTGCCAAGCTGGAGAAGCTGACAATCTGTGAGTGTTCTTGGGGTCTTTCAGAAGTGGGGCAGTAAATCAAAGAGGACTGAGGGCTATATTCCCTGAGTTTTGTCATTGACCTCACCCATTGTGGCTTCTTGTTTGTCTCTGTAGTGGCAAAGCGCAAGTCCCTCTTTGATGATAAAGCAGTGGAAATTGAAGAACTAACATATATCATCAAACAGGTGAGCTGCTAGCCATCAGGAGAGCCCAGCATTCCAATCAGATCACTTCTGTCTTCCTGTCATTTTCCATTGCCATGGGGACCCAGAGCAAGTTTCTTTTTTTAGAGAGGGGGTCTCACTGTGTTGACCAGACTGGAGTGTTGTGGTGTGATCCTAGCTCACTACAGCCGTTAACTCCTGGGCTCAAGCTATCCTCCAGCCTGAGCCTCCTGAGCGGTTGAGACTATAGGGACATGCCCTCATACCTGGATAATTTTTCTTTTTTTTTTTTTGAGACAGAGTTTTGCACTTTTGCCCAGGTGGGAGTGCAGTGGTGTGATCTTGGCTCACTGTAACCTCCACCTCCCAGGTTCAGGCTATTCTCCTGCCTCAGCCTCCCCAGTAGCTGGGACTACAGCCACCCGCCACCAATGCCTGGCTAATTGTTTTCTCTTTAGTAGAGAAGGGGTTTCACCATGTTGGCCAGACTGGTGTCAAACTCCTGACCTCAAGTGAGCCGCCCACTTCGGCCTCCCAGAGTGCTGGGATTACAGGTGTGAGCCACTGCACTCAACTGTAATAACAACTTTTATCTATTTATTTATTTATTATTTTTTTTTGAGACAGAATTTCACTCTTGTTGCCCAGGCTGGAGCACAGTGGTGTGATTTCAGCTCACCACAACCTCCGTCTTCTGGGTTCAAGTGATTCCACTGCCTCAGCCTCCTGAATAGCTGGGTACATGCCACCGTGCCCAGCTAATTTTGTATTTTTAGTAGAGGTGGGGTTTCTCCATGTTGGTCAGGCTGGTCTCAAACTCCTGACCTCAGGTGGTCCGCCCACTTCAGCCTCCCAAAGTGCTGGGATTACAGGCGTGAGCCCCAGCGCCAGACCAATAATAACTTTTCTTTTCTTTTTTTTTTTAAAGACGGTGTCTTACTCTGTTGCCAGGCTGGAGTGCAGTGGTGCGATCTAGGCTTACCGCTACCTCCACCTCCCAGGTTCAAGCGATTCTTTTGCCTCAGCCTCCCAAGTAGCTGGGACTATGGGACTATAGGCATGCGCCACCACACCCAGCTAATTTTTTGTATTTTTAGTAGAGATGGGGTTTCACCATGTTGGCCAGGATAGTCTCAATCTCTTGACCTCATGATCTGTCTGCCTTGGCCTCTCAAAGTGCTGGGTTTACAGATGTGAGCCACTGAGGAATTGTGTGTATAAATATAATTCTGTTGATGCCTCTTGAAGCTACAGTGCCTTTGACTCTTCCCTTTTCCTGAGTGCCGTCCAGGGGCTTTGTTGGTCATGCTCTAGACCCAAGATTTTGGCCTTTGAAAGGGTTCTGTGGCCAAGAGCATGGCCTAACAGAATGGAGCAGGGCAGTAGGCTGGAGGAGTTAACAAGTTATTTACAAATGGGTGAAGGCCTACTTTGCCTCTTTCTAGCTCTTCTCTGTAGGAACTGAGCCAGAGCAAACACTAGACCTTGGAAAATCCTAGCAGGCCCATCTGGTCTGACTGTCTGGGATACTCTCACTCTAGCTAGTAACTTCCACCTTGCCTTTCCTACCAGAGATGGCCATCGGGAGAGATGCTGACTGAGGACTCCTTGGCTAATACTTTGTTTTTCCCTGGACTCTTTTACCAGGACATCAATAGCCTCAACAAACAAATTGCTCAGCTCCAGGATTTCGTGAGGGCCAAGGGCAGCCAGAGTGGCCGGCACCTGCAGACCCACTCCAACACCATTGTGGTCTCCTTGCAGGTGGGAGCTGGGGAGGAAGGGAAGGAGGCAAAGGGGAAGAATGTGGAGTCTTGTTTGGTTGACCGTCTCTCCTTTTCTTCTAGTCGAAACTGGCTTCTATGTCCAATGACTTCAAATCGGTTTTAGAAGTGAGGACTGAGGTGAGAACAATTTGCCTAGGAGGGATAGAAATATGGGGGTAAAGATCCAAGAGAAAATGGGGAAGGTACAGGTTCTACAGGGTCATGGGGCCAATGGTGGGAGTCTCTTTAACATGCCTGCTTTCTAGTGGCTTCAGGTCCTTTGCATTTTTCCCCAACCCCAGAACCTGAAGCAGCAGAGGAGCCGGAGAGAGCAGTTCTCCCGGGCACCTGTGTCAGCCCTGCCCCTTGCCCCTAACCACCTGGGTAAGTCAGAGGTAAAACGGGAAGCCCCGGGAGGTAAGGTTACTTACTCTGGTTGTGATGGCATCCTCTGAAGGCACGGGTTGGGTAGGAGAGTGGAGGGTCAAGGAAGTTTCTAGGCTCTATCTCTCAGAGGCCGAACCAGATGGTTGAGATTCGTGATCCACATTTAGACTCCCACATTCTCACTGTTGGGGTGAATTCAGTTGTATTCAGAAGAATGATAATTTCTAATTTTTTTCATACACTTACCTTTATTCACATTCTCTCATTTAATTTTCACAACCACCCTTTGAGAAAGCAACTATTATTATCCCCCATTTTACAGGTGAGGAAACTAAGGCTCAGAGAGGTTAAATGACCTATCCAGGGTCACAAGGCTAGTAAGTGCCAGAGCTGGGATTCAAACCCAGAGCATGTGGGCTTTGAACCTGCTTTTAACTGTGAAGATGTGCCACGTCCTGTTTTCTCCCCAGGGGGTGGTGCTGTGGTTTTGGGGGCAGAGTCCCATGCCTCCAAGGATGTCGCCATCGACATGATGGACTCTCGGACCAGCCAGCAGCTGCAGCTCATTGACGAGCAGGTACCCAGGCTCTGAACTAGGGAGAATCAGCTTCTCCATTATCCTCTGTGTTTCCCAAGAGAGTGTTTGGAGTGTGCCATGGGCAGAATGGCAAGCTGGGAGGGCTGTAAAGACGCAGGTCTGACCCTGAAGAAACTGATGGTGCTCGTGTGCTCTCTCCCTCTCCTGAAGGATTCCTACATCCAGAGTCGGGCAGACACCATGCAGAACATTGAGTCGACAATTGTTGAGCTGGGCTCCATCTTTCAGCAGTTGGCACACATGGTTAAGGAACAGGAGGAAACCATTCAGAGGTGAGACATACTCTCTCACCCCAAACAGAGGAGCTTTCTCTTCCCCGTAGATTGGCATCTTAAAGTCCCCAGGGACTGCTTGATGCCCTTTCGAAGACAGAGTGAATTCTGCCCACCCATGGGACCCAGTTCACCTGCTTCCGTCCACCCAACAAGTATTTATTGAGCACCTGTTCATGTGAGGCACTGTTCCAGGTGCGGGAGATACAGTGGCAAATAGGACAGTAAAGTCTCTCTGGAGCTACTTTGTAGCATGTGTAAGTGTATAGAATTTGATAGGGCAGATGAGGACAGCTGTGGAAAAGAACTGACAAGGCTGGCATAGTGGCTCACACCTGTAATCCCATAGGCAGCATTTGGGAGGCCGAGCAAGGCAGATCGCTTGAGTTCAGGAATTCAAGACCAGCTTGGGCAACAAAGTGAGACCCTGTCTCTACAAAAAAATACAAAAACTAGCTGGGCATGGTGGCACGGGCCTGTAGTCCCAGCTACTCAAGAGACTGAGGTGGGAGGATGGCTTGAGCCTGGGAGGCAGAGGTTGCAGTGAGCCAAGATCATGCCACTGCACTCCAGCCTGGGCGACAGAGCCAGATTCTGTGTCAAAAAATAAAAAATTGACCAACAAAATTTCAGGTAGTAATGGAGACTATACAGAGTTAAAGTAGGATGATGTGTTAAGAAAGTAGTGGATGGGTACCGTGGCTTACACCTGTAATTCCAGCACTTTGAGAGGCCCACACAGTCACCTGAGCTAAGGATTTCGAGACCAGCCTAGGCAACATGGTGAAACCCCATCTCTACAAAAATAAAAAAATTAGCTAGACGTGGTTGCATAGGCCTGTGGTTCCAGCTACTCGGGAGGCTGAGGTGGGAGGATGACTTAAGCATGGGAGGTTGAGGCTGCAGTGAGCCATGATGGAACCACTGCACTCCAGCCTGAGTGACAGAGCGAGACTCCATCTCAAGAAAAAATAAGGAAGTGACTAAGGTATATCAGATTGTGTGGCAGGGAATGCTGCTCTGAAGACACCACATTTAAGTAGAGATTTGAATGACAAGAGGGATCCAGCCAGGCAAAGAAGAGAGAGTGAGTGTTCTCGGCTGAGTGGACAGCTAGAGCAAAGCCTTGTAATGGGACAGTCTAACTATACGCAAGAATCAAGAAGGCCTGCATGGCTAGAAAGTAATGAACAGGGATAGAGAAGTACAGGGTGTACTGGAGGGATGTAGGCAGAGGCCCAACAATGGGCTGGCCTCTCTGTTCCTCTGCTGTCTCCTGCTACTATAAGAGGTTTTATCTGCTCCTCCTCTGTGGTGCTTAGCAGTCAGTCAGTCAGTTATGGGAAATACAGCAGTGGACAGAAGAGACAAAATCCTTGCCCTTGTGGAACGTGTATCCTAGTAGGAGATAGATGTGAAAAAGTCATAATAAATAAATAGTATGTTTAAAAACAAGTCATAAATGCCAAAAAAAAAAAAAAAAAAAAGAGTCAACACAGGATAAACTAATCAGGAGTGCCAGGTTTGGAGGGAGGTAGGCCTTATTAAGAAGGTGGCATCACACTTGGGAGAAGGTGAGGTAGTTAGGTACATAGACTCTGGCAAAGACCTCCAGGTGACAATATATCTGATGAGTTAACGGACAGCAGAGACTACTGCAGCTGGGATCAGTGAGGAAGAGAGTTGTACAAGGTGTGGTCAGAGGGGAACTGGTGAGACCTCTTGAGACCATTGGTAGGCCTTAGCTTTTATTCCAAGTGACATAGGGAGCCATTGCAGGGGTTTGTTTTTGTTTCTGTTTTTGTTTCAGACAGAGCCTTGCTCTGTCGCCCAGGCCGGAATGCAGTGGCACGATCTTGGCTCACTGCAACCTCCGCCTCCTAGGTTCAAGTGATTCTCATGCCTCAGTCTCCCTAGTACCTGGGACCACAGGTGTGCACCGCCATGCCCAACTACATTTTGTATTTTTAGTAGAGACAGAGTTTTGCCATGTTGGCCAGGCTGGTCTTGAACTCCTGGCCTCAAATGACCTGTCCTCCTTGGCCCCCCAAAGTGCTGGGATTACAGGTGTGAGCCATCACAACTGGCCAAATACATTTAACTTTATTTTATTTATTTATTTATTTATTTTTATTTTTATTTTTATTTTTGAGATAGAGTCTCACTCTTGCCAGGCTGGAGTGCAGTATTACAGTCTCGACTGACTGCAGCCTCTGCCTCCTGGGTTCAAGTGATTCTCTTGCCTCAGTCTCCTGAGTAGCTAGGACTGCAGGTGTGTGAGACTATGCCCAGCTAATTTTTGTATTTTTAGTAGAGACAGAGTTTCATCATGTTGGCCATGATGGTCTTAATCTCTTGAGCTCATGATCCACCCACCTCAGCCTCCCAAAGTGCTGGGATTACAGGCATGAGCCACCATGCCCAGCGTTAACTTTATTTTTATTTATTTATTTATTCTTGAGGTGGAGTTTCTCTCTTGTTGTCCAGGCTGGAGTGCAGTGGCACCTCTCGCCTCACTGAAACCTCCAGGTTCAAGCAATTTTCCTGCCTCAGCCTCCCGAATAACTGGGATTACATGCACCCACACCACGCCCAGCTAATTTTTGTATTTTTAGCAGAGATGGGGTTTCACCATGTTGACCAGGCTGGTCTTGACCTCCTGACCTCAGGCAATCCATGCACTTTGACCTCCCAAAGTGCTGGGATTGCAGATGTGAGCCACTGCGCCTGGCCACATTTAACTTTAAAACAAAAATTATAATAGCATATACTCTGGGATTTATAAGGTACGTAGATGCAACAAATTTAACTGTAGAATAAAGGATGAAGCAAGAGGGTTTCAAGATTTTGACAGGTTTTTTTTTTGTTTTTTTTTTTTAAATGGAATTTTGCTCTGTCGCCAGGCTGGAGTGCAGTGGCTCAATCTCAGGTCACTGCAGCCTCCGTCTCCCAGGTTCAAGTAATTCTCCTGCCTGAGCCTCCCGAATAGCTGGGATTATAGGCGCCCACCACCACGCCCAGCTAAATTTTGTATTTTTAGTAGAGACGGGGTTTCATTGTGTTGGCCAGGACGGTCTCAATCTCTTGACCTCATGATCTGCCTGCCTTGGCCTCCCAAAGTGCTAGGATTACAGGTGTGAGCCACCGTGCCTGGCCGATTTTGACAGTTTATATAAAGTAGGCTGTGAAAAGTTAATAAGGTATATTGTCATCCTTAGAGCAACCACTGAAATAAAACTCAACAATGACATATAGCAAGAAGAGCAACAACCAAATTGAAATGGAAATAGAATTTTAACCAAAATTTCAGTTAATTCAAAAGAAGGACAAGAGAGGATAAACAGAGAAACAAAAAATAAAAGAGAAAAGTAGAAAATAGTGCCGGGCGCGGTGGCTCACACCTGTAATCTCATCACTTTGGGAGGCCGAGGTGGGCGGATCACAAGGTCAGGAGATGGAGACCATCTTGGCTAACACAGTGAAACCTCGTCTCTACTAAAACTAGACAAAAAATTAGCCAGGCATGGTGGCGGGCGCCTGTAGTCCCAGCTACTTGCGAGGCTGAGGCAGGAGAATGGCGTGAACCCAGGAGGTAGAGCAGTGAACTGAGATCACGCCACTGCCCTCCAGCCTGGGCAACAGAGCGAGACTCGGTCTCAAAAAAAAAGGTAAAATGGCAGCCCTAAATCCAGCCTTATTAAAAATTACGTGTGGCCTCAAGTGATCTCCCCGCCTTGGCCTCCAAAAGTGCTGGGATTACGCGTGTGAGCCACCATGCCTGGCCAGATTCTGCCCCTTTTTTTTTTGAGACAGAGTCTTACTGTGTCATCCAGGCTGGAGCTCAGTGGCGCAATCTCGGCTCACTGCAAGCTCCGCCTCCCGGGTTCATGCCATTCTCCTGCCTCAGCCTCCCAGGTAGCCGGGACTACAGGTGCCCGCCACCATGCCTGGCTAATTTTTTTTTGTATTTTTAGTAGAGATGGGGTTTCACCATGTTAGCCAGGATGGTCTCGATCTCCTGACCTTGTGATCCGCCTGCCTCGGCCTCCCAAAGTGCTGGGATTACAGGTGTTGGCCAATTCTGCCCATATTTTAATCTCCGTCCCAGACCACTCTCCTAAACTCCATATATCCATATTCCTGTTCAACATCTCCACTTACTGGCCTGGGAGTGGTGGCTCATGCCTGTATTCCTAACATTTTGGGAGGCTGAGACAGGTGGATCATTTGAGGTTCAGCAGTTTGATACCTGCTTGACCAAAATGGTGAAACCCCATCTCAACTAAAAATACAAAAAAAAAAAAAAAAAAATAGCTGGGCATGGTGACACATGCCTGTGATCCCAGCTACTCAGGAGCCTGAGGTGGTAGAATCACTTTAACCCTAGAAGCGGAGGTTGCAGTGAGCCGAGATCATGCCATTGCATTCTAGCCTGGGCAACAAGAGCAAAACTCTCAAAAAACAAAAACACAAGCTGGGCATGGTGGTGCACTTCTTGGTCCCAGCTACTGCCAAGTCTGAGGCAGGAGGATCTGAGCCCCGGGGGCGGAGGTTCCAGTGAGCCGAGATTGCGCCACTGCACTCCAGCCTGGGTAACCGCAACACCCTGTCTCCAAAAAAAAAAGGTATTAAAAAGTTAAATGTATTTTAAATAAATTAAGAGGAAGACATGGTAATAGTACTCACATATTTACCATCTTCACTGTTCTTCATTCCTCCTTGAATAGATCTAAGATTCCCACTGGTATCTCTTCCCTTTATCCTGAAGAAGCACTTCCTTTGGTATTTTTTTTGTAGTGGAGATCTGCTGACAACAATTTCTTTCAGTTTTCTTTCATCTGAAAAGAAAACAAATCTTTTTCACTAAATCAAAACTAAACTTTTTTCACCTTCATTTTTTTTTTTTTGAGACAGAGTCTCACTCTGTTGCCCAGGCTGGAGTGCAGTGGCGCGATCTCGGCTCACTGCAAGCTCCGCCTCCCGGGTTCATGCCATTCTGC